AACTTGACAGTTTGTCAATTGGAAAACCATTCACTCCTTTTGAGACATGGAGAAACTGGGAGTGGAAACTTCATTTTGGACACATATCTAGTAAATCTATACTGCAGTTATTTGTATGATGTTATTTTCCTTTGATAAATATCTTTGAAAGCATTATTATATGTGTTAATACCTGTACAAAGGAACTGCCCCATTTATAAAATAAGCTGGCAAGCTGTGGGTTAATTCATAATATTTTAAAAATTACTTCAGGGCTAGATCTGGAGTTTAAAAAAATTAGTAATTAAATTGCAGCTTAGTAGAAAAATAATGGAGTCATAAAAACATTCTTAATATTTCAAAATTGAGAATGCTTAAAATTTTAAAACAATGCAAAAAATTTTTTATGTGTCCAAGGTATACAGGGTATCATGGAGTAAATATTTATAGTGCTTTTCACAATACCTCTGTAATGCCACCTCACAGGAGCATTTCAATCCAGTTTGGGAGTTGGGGAATAGGAGCATAAACAATGAAATAATTACAGGAGTTATTACTTAAGGATAAAGTAAATGTAATCTAATGTATATGATTCACTATCATTTTAATGACAGAGATTTAACAATTACAGACTCTGAATTCAGAGTGGGGTGAAGCAACTATGTTGACGTCAGAACTCTGTTAAATGACATTGGTTTTAGAAGGCTAAATGAAGCTCTCCTCTGCCAACCTCACAAACATCCCTCTATGAGTGCCTAGGAACTACCCAGCCTTAGGATAATGAATTCAGTTCTCTCTCTCCCCAAACATAATTTTGTGGCTCTGAAGCTTTCTCAATGAATCCACATTAATATACAAGCTCTTCAGAAGTGCTGAAGACACAACCTCTTGAGTCATACACTTTCTCTATTATGGAGACTTTTTCTTTCTTCTTTGCCATTCATGTTTAGTTTAGATTTTTTGCTTTGTCACTTCAACCATTGCCTTGCCATGTTACTTAACTTCACTGCCTCGTTGTGCCGCTATCAAACACAAAGCAACACAACACAAAACAAAAGTAACCTGATGAAGCTTCAAGCCTACATTAATTTAAATTTATTCAGTCTGCTCAATGCTGCTGGACAAACATCCATAACTGTGTAGATCAGTACTACAGTGAATTCTTGATCTCTAGCCTCATGTGAGCCAACAGCCCTGCCTGGAATTTCTTCAATATTCCCTAAGCAGCTCTTCTGTTTCCACAGCAGCTATTTCAAAACTTCTCCACTGTCTTTAAACCTACAGCCTCATTGTTGCCAATGTCTTCTGCTACCTTTTCCCTCTTAGAAGATAATCTCGCCTCCTACTTCTTCAAGAAAAGACTATTTCTTAATAATTTTCTTAACTTCCTAACATCAAACATAAAGACTTGCTTGGAAACACAGCATTCTTTATCTAACCCCACCCCTTATCACTCTGGAAAATGACGTTCCAATGCCTACGGTTAAGCACTCCATCTAATTCTTGATTCAGTCCTCTCTTTTTTCCTCCTGTATCTCTATCAGTGATAACCTTTCTTTCCTATATCTTCATTTACTTCCTCAATACTGGCTTGTAAGCATTCAAATATACTCAAGTCTCTTACATTGTAAAAAATCTCCCCCAACAACTTCACAAAGCCATTTAATTACTACCCAAACGTATGAACTTCCTCACTTTCCTTTTTACTTTTCTACCGTTGCTATTTAAACACATGGCATTGCCCTGCTACTGAAATTTCACTCATTGATGAAAGTTAACCACAACTTCTTGTCATGTACTAGACACCGTTCTGGATGCTTCACCTTACTAACACATTGAAGTTAGGCCAGCATATCTCAGCATCAAAATCCAATAGAAAGGACTGTTTTAGGCAACCTCAGTCATAAGTATCAATATAAAACCCGTATACAGGGTGGTAGTAAATAAAATCATTTTTACATAAACATAAGCATAATTATAATTTTATATATGTATAAACAATTTTATATAAAAATTATGCATATTCAGGACTGTATAGAGCTTCCTTAATCTGATCTAAGTTAATAATATGTATATATCATCTTATAGTGTTGAATATTTTTTCTCTGAGATTGATAATGATCCAAAATGCCTACTACTGTTATTTCCATTCAACATCATCCCAAGGAGGTGTAAAATAACAAAGAGACAAAACTCTTATTAATTGCAAATGACAAAATAATTTGCAGACCATTCATGAGAATCTACAGGTAAATTATTAGAATTAAAAGTCTAAGCAAGAGTGCTGGATATAAAATCAATATGAAATATCAATATTATTTGTATACACAGTAGCAAACAGAAATGATATTTTAGAAGATACCATATTATATTCATAGACTATAATACCACTCAGCACTATAAAAGACAAACAAAATTATTGACACATGAAAATAAGAATGTAACTCAAATGTTGAGAGGAAAAAAGAAACAAATGTGTAAATGCTACTTTATGCATTTATATAAGCTTTCAGACCAAGCAAACTGTGCTTCTAAAAATAAAAATAGGAATAATAGAACTTTCTGAGTCACAGAAACATTCTACAACTTGACCTGGGTAGTGGTTACATTGGTGAATGTGCTTACTGAAAGTCACTGTGCACTTAATATTTGTGTGTTTTATTGTGCTTAAATTATATCTCAATAAAACAAATAAAGAGCATTGAAGAGTAAAATTTTACTTTTTTCTTACCCCATATATTAAAAAAAAAAAACCTTCCAGATAGATAAAAGAGCGTAATTTGAAAGGCAGAACTATAAAACCCTTGGAACCTAATTGAGCATACCCTCATGACTCGGGGGGTAGGGAGTAATTTCTTAGATAATACTGAGCAGCAATAATAATAGGGAAGAAAATTAATAGTTCTTCTAAATTTAAAGATGCTAAAAATGGAATTGAAATAAAATCCACAGAGAGGAAAACAAAACTGACAAAAAATAAAAATAAAAAATAAAACACTAGCGGCCAGGTGCGGTGGCTCACGCCTGTAATCCCAGCACTTTGGGAGGCTGAGGCGGGTGGATCACGAGGTCAAGAGATCGAGATCATCCTGGTCAACATGGTGAAACCCCGTCTCTACTAAAAATACAAAAAATCAACTGGGCATGGTGGCGGGTGCCTGTAATCCCAGCTACTCGGGAGGCTGAGGCAGGAGAATTGCCTGAACCCAGGAAGTGGAGGTTGCGGTGAGCCGAGATTGCGCCATTGCACTCCAGCCTGGGTAACAAGAGCGAAACTCTGTCTCAAATAAATAAATAAATAAATAAAACACAACACTAAAATTCAGAATATATACATAATGTCTAGAATCAATTATAAAAAGCAAAAGACACCCCCTCCAAAAAAAATAACCAAAAAAGTAAATGAGCAATTAACTCAGAAACAACTGAAGAGCCAAAATATGTAGGAAAATATGCAAACTGTTTCATAATCAGGGAAATGTAAATTGAAATTATGAGGCTATATCATTATATATACCCAATAAATTAATAAAAATTTTAGTCTTACAAATTCAATACTTGATTAGAATGTGGGGCAATGCCTGTACTGCTGGTGGTATGTAAATTAGTAAATTGCTATGAAAATGGGTTTGATGTTATCTGGTAAAGTTCAAGATATGGTTTCTTCAACTTGCAGTAGTTCTACTTCTGGATACAAAACCTACAGAAATACATCTACAAGCATGAAAGAATACAAGATGTATATCCAATAATTTTTGTAACAGCAGCTTATAGCAATCTAAAAATGGAAACAAACGGTAGTGGTTTGAGACACATCCATACAATAGAAAACAATATAGCAATATAAATGAATAAACTGCCACTACATGTAACAACAAGGATCAATAACGTAAACATACTGTTGAACACAAGAAGCAAGAAGAAAAGGATATATGCATTCTTGAGTCCATTCATAAGTTGCAACGTTGACAAAACAATTATTTAAGGATTTAATCAAAGGCGATAAAAATATATTTAACATGCAAATATGGGAGTGTTTAGAATGCTGGCCATTTTCTTTCTCTTGACCATAGTAATGATTATTTCCTTTAAAATAATTCACTAAACTTTGTGTTTTATGCAGCTTTCTATATGTTTGATATTATTCACTATTAAACAAAAATTTAAAATGCATTAAGATAGTTTCAACCACATTAGCATAAATGTATTGAAAATTTGTATTGCTCATAACTTCTCACTTCATTTTGTCTAGGTTTTTTTTTGCATCTTACATCTCAGCACTAAAAATACCTACTGAAGAACCTTCTACCCTCAATGTAGTCAACTTTAGACAGTTAGAAATTTAGTCATCAGTTCTGTGTACACACTCAATTATGTTATGGTTTTCCCTACCAAATATATATATATATATGGCAAATCCAAATTATAGAAACATTGTTAACACAAGGGCTGTTTTATTCTCCTTGATAAAGTTATTGTCCCAGTATTTCATGAAACATGCATTATTAGCACTCAGCTTCTTCTTAAATGTGATCAGTAGGATACAACAAGAGTTCATTTTCTGTAAACTATTTTCTACAAATTACATGACACATACAGAAGTTAAAATACTGTAATGTCAGATCTTACAGTAGACTTTCTGTCTTACTATATGAAATTTATCTAAGCTCTTATTCTGATTTTGTATGTGTTACAAGTTAAAAACCAAGCAGCTTCCAGTTATATACATATTAAATTTACTACTTTATAAAAATTCTTATTATAACAAATAAAAGATTATGCTATTTCCCTAGGCAAGATTCAGATCATTTTCCTCCTTTACATTCTTCTAAGGAAGAAATATAATTTTTGCTAAATACTTCTGGTAAATATTTAAGGTCATTCCAATGCCTAATTTCCCCCCATCCTATTCTTTCTCTTTCAAACTGCAATATTGACTTTAATGGGTACTGTGATCATATTGCATGGAAAACAAACAAAACCATAGTATAGGAAAAAGCATATTAATCAGTGTGTCTTACTTTGCGAACACCTCTGCCAAGCTCTTCTCCATAGTTGGTTCCAAGAATTTCAAAGTGGACATTGGGATTACCTCCATTTTCTCCAAATTCAAGCTCTCCAGTCAGCCCACTAACTCCACCCTAAAGGACAGAACAGAAACTGATGTAAAATTTGAGAAGTAATAACAATAACAATAATAATAATAATAAACACAAAAGGAAGTTCTAGGAACTCTACTTCCATCTATAAAATAAATAAAGTATGCAAATTTTAACAGACTACTTTTAAAAATAGGTACACAGCATAAAACAGGAGTACAGTTGAACCTAACTTTGGTAATCTTTAATACAACCTCATCCATTTGTCATAAAAACAGAAATTAAGACACCAAAAGTCAAGTGACAGTTCAAAATAAAACCATGTTAGAGCTCAAACTAAGTTTCAGGGTCAAGTTTTTGCCAACATACCTTGTGACTTGAATGGATTCACTAGTCAGAAAACAAGATGCTTCTGGAGTCCATAAAATCTACTTTAGATAGATTTTAAATATTCTTTGTTCTAGCACAAATCCATTTAATTTTGATCTAAAATTATAGCTGGGGATCTTAAAAGTCACTGTTTCTAGATTAGAGGCTTATTTTTTTTTTTTGCCCCTTTTTTAAACATATTTTCCAAATCAAAAATAAAAGAGCTAAATTAGGCTTGAGATCTGTTTTGCTCTTAAGAGGTAGTGCTGGCTGTTGAGATTCACTGGGAATTTCAAGTTTCATCTTTCATTCAGCATGACAGATGTTCATTTATCCAACAGATGGCAATGTAGGTCATACTTCTCTCATTCTTGTTTATTATTCTTTTCTCAGTTTAGTTTATCAGCCTTCAAATTATTTAGGATTTTACAAATGAAAATCACACTCTGAGTCACTTCAATGCTAAATTACGTCTAACTTAAATTTTTGGCCTAGTAATGACATTTATTTAGGAAACAAATGATCTCAGTTTGTAAATTGCTTTAATTATCACCTCTAAGATGTTGGTATTTAAATACATCTCACTTGACATAACCTGCAACTCCATCTCCACTCTTTTCTGGCTGTTATTAATATGCTGTTTGCTTTTCCTTCTGCTTCTTCTGTGCCTTGTAGCCCAATCACCTGCTGCTAAGTTCATGATGAGTTCAATACTATTTTTGATTGATGTTTTCCTGCATGAATTACTAATTTTAATATTTAATCCACTGTATTTTTATAACAGTAATAATCAATAAAATTAATTATTCACTATTATTTCCTAAACAGCCAGTTTCTATTATCTAGTTTTACTGATAAAAATCCTATTGGATTTGATACATCAATACTCTTTTCATATATGATTCAGCAATCAAGAGCATAGGTCACAATTCCTGGGTTTCACCAATGGCTTCACAATCTACTAGATGTGTAAACATGTAATCAGGCTAAGCCATTTAATTTGTCTATGCCTCAATCACTAGATCTGTTAAATGAGAAAATAATAGTGCCTACCCCAGAAGAGATTTCTGATTATTATAATACATGTAAAGAATATTGAAAAGTTCTTGAGATGTGGTGAAAGCTTAAATATTACTTTATTAATTATTAATAAATTATTATTTATATAATTTATTATAATAAATTTATATAATAATTTATATAATTATTAAAAAATATTAATTATTACCTCCACCATTAATTAATTATTTTTGAAGGATTTTTAATTCTCTTAGAAATTGTTGGCATAATCTTATTTTTTAATTAAAATTCACTTGGTTTGCCAAAAATTAGTATACGCTTAAATATTTAGATGGCTTTGGAAAATATTTTTGCAAATGTCAACTCAGTTACATTTCATTGATTTTATTTGGGGAGAAAAAAGTTAAAGCAGCTGGTCTAGGATGTTTTCTCTTCTTTCACTGGTGTGTGTATAGGGGAGCAACTAAGGGTAGAGGTTGGGTCTAATGTCCTTGTCCATTGGAACTCCAAGTAAATAGACTGGTAATATTTACTAGGTGAGAGATTCCTTATTTATACAAAGCCCTTAGCAGGATATCTCAGACTAAAGAAATATTGGAACAAATAAACCCAGGATCTATGGATTAATGTTTGTGGCTCCCCAGAAAGTGTGCTGAAGCTTTACATTTTCTAAGGTAAAAATCAAGATCTTTCATAATGTAAATCCTTCCCTGTGGTGAGAGATAAACCTATGAAACCCTCCTTGGAGACAGAATGAGCATTTCCAGTGTGGGAAGAAAGAACCTGGGAACTATGCAGAATGTCTCCTACTCTTTCTCCTTGCCTGTATTTTTGATACGGGCAATATATCTGATTCTTGCCCATCTATTCCAGTCTGTGTTCACTATCTCATAACATCCAATTTATTTTAAAGACTGAAATAGGTGCAGTGGATCTTATTATCATTAATATCTCCAAATGGCAAATACTGTAGGAATCTGATTGACAAATATAAGCTATATTTACTTATATTTAAGTAAATACAAGCTTATTAAGTAACAACATAAGCTTATTAGATAACAATATAAGTTTATTAAGTAATAAGCTTATATTACTACAAGTAACTTCAAATACCTATATTCAGAAATATTTTTATGAGAGTTTTTCTTGTCCATAATCACACATCTACCTAAATAATATCTTTTAATTATGTCAGAATCTTAAATTTTTGTTTCAGTAGCTTATTTGTAGGAAAAAGATATCCTATATCAGTATGATTGCTACATAAAAACTACTACATTCCTAAAATTTTTACACGTTTGAGCACTAAACTAATCTGGTGCTGTGTTATTATTCTCAATCAATACCCACGTGGCCACCTAGGTCATGCCTTTATCCTTTATTTCTTCTGCCACTGAATGACTTAGTTTACTTGAACACGGTACAAAAAAACCAATAAATTGGGGGACTTGCATTTAGTTTGCTTCAGCATTTACTTATCTTGCTCACCTTTTTGCTTTGTAAGTTATCTTCTTTATGCTATATTCTTAATGAGCTGTTGGCATGTATAATCAATGGAACCTTCTCTCACGAAGATGTCAGAGATGCTTGAGAGGTCAGTATTTCAAGCAAGTAAACACTTTAACTAAAACCTATTGTTACCTTGCCCAGACTTAACCTCTCTGATTTTTGATTGCCTTAGAAAAATCCAGGGCTTTAAAGCTTTTTTCCATCTATCCTCAAATTAACCTTGAAAACAGAGCCTTGGTAAAAATGTGTGGTGGCGAAGTAGTAATGAATGGTCATTATTTTTGTGCATGCATGGTTGTATTTTTTTATCTCTTGGTGATGCAGCACATTTTAAACAATATAAGCTAATGCGACATTGATAGTATGAATAACACATACAGATAATTTCTAAATGTCCTTCAAATTGGCAGTAAAAATTGCTGCCAGGGTAAATCTTTTTAAAAATATGAAGTAAAATTGGTTTTAATGTCATCCATCCACTTGATATAGAAATACCACTGGACATCAAACATAGAGAGCAAAGAGTAGAAAAATTAAGAGGAAAATCAGAGGTTGGGAATAATTTAGCACTGGATAATGAGTTTCTAAAGGCAAAAGGTATTGATCCCTTATGGCTAGGAAAAGTTGGGGAAAAGATAAAAAAAATTACTGAGACTGTATGTCATTCTGTTTATGATGAAGAAGGATCTTTTCCTACACTTGAAAAGGGATACTCTTGGAGGATCACGTGAGACATTAAATATTTATCACACTTGCCTAAATTCCTGATACATATTCCTAGGTTCCTTGTAACCTGCAGACATGCGTGGTAACTAAGAATAATCTGTTAAAATAACCGTGGGTCCAGCAAGGCAGAGAACACTCTGGAAGGTATCAGACTCAGCAGGGAGCCCTGATGCCTCTGTGTTGCATTAGCGTCAGGTTCAGAGAGAAAAATCCCCAACAAGAAAAATACCACATTTTCCACCCAACAAATAAGTATTTTAATGGGTAAATAGAAACTAAGATACAATTAAAAAAAAAGACAAAAATAAAGAACCTTAATTTGTGTGAAATATCTAGGAAAATTTGAGTTGCCATGTAACATTATGTGTGTGTATATGTACGTGCATTTGCATATATACATATACACTCAAACAGTCATTCATAATAAAGACTCTCAGCCAGCTGAGAATGTCAACAGGATGTTACAAGCATTGTGATCATGCTGTCTCCATCTTAGAGGACCCTGAAGCCTAGTCAACCAGTTAACTGTGGAGCCCAAACTGAAACCATCATCTTGTGTCTCATATTTTTTCCTCTGGACTAGGTAAACTGTGTGTTCAATATATCATATCATAGTGAATTGCTCCGAAGTGCATGTTGAACTGAATTAAATTAAATCTATTCCACTTAACCCACTTTATGATTAAAATAACCTGAAGCTGGAGTGTATCTTGGTGAATCCAAGAGGCCTATTCCAAGAGCATGGATGGCAGTTTTTAAATTGCCTATGACACAAAGTTTACTTACACACATTTTTGTAAAAAGGCTACCTTATATTTCATGCCAATCCTGTTTGTGGTAAGTCAGATTGTTTTCCTAAATTTGCTCTCTTTTTTTCAGATTTGTAAATTCTAAGTGATACATAGCACTTTACACAAAAGGTAATGTCTCCATTTCTCCAAGTATGCAGACTTTTTAAAAGCCCACAAAACCAAACATAACATTATTTTAATCTTTGTCTTCCTCACACACTTACATTAAATTACCAAATTTTATTTCAATTTTGTAAATATCCTCAAGGATATTTACCTGTATCCATCCATGGCCCACACCCTAACCGGGTCTTCTCTAAGTAAGAGGAGTAGCCTCTTAATTGGTGTTCTGTCATGCAGTAAGTCCTGGTTCAATGGCAGTTGCAGAATAGATTTTCTACTTGGGAATCATGGGATAATCTGATTTTATCACCACCCTGTTTAAAATATTTTAGTTTGGCCTGGTGCAGTGGCTCATGCCTGTAATTCCAGCACTTTGGGAGGCTGAGATGGGTGGATCACCTGAGTTTAGGAGTTCCAGACCACCCTGGCCAGCATGGCAAAACTTGTCTCTACTAAAAATACAAAATTAGCTGGACATGGGGCGCAAGCCTGTAATCCTAGCTA